CACTCCGTTTCTTGTATAAAATACCGTATTATTTCTAATGTTTAAACTACATCCGATAGTATCACCGGTCATAAATTCTGGTCCATATGGTTGGCCAAATGTGTTAAAAAACATATTTCCATCACCATGATAACCCCATGAGCTATGTTCCCTGCCTACAATATAAATTTTACAATAAATAATTTATTTAACAAATTAAGCTGATAAAAAGAAGAGTAAATTTACCTGGCATTTTATTTATGCTAGCTGATTTTGTGCAAAACCCGATTCCAATCTTTCTATGGAATTTAAAAATAAAATTATCGGCAAATTTTTAAATTTTCAACTAACTTATATATAACAGTAAAAACTGTATTCCAAAGTTTTACAATATACCCATTTTCCCCTATATCTATAATGTCAACTTCAAAATAAAATAATCCGCATTGTTCAGGAATTGGAAAATTTGCTCGAATTGCAGCACAATTTTCATCTCCACCCAGACCTTTATATTTGAAATAATTGTAGTCATGCAAGAAAGTGATTCCATGCGAAAGCATTAAAATTATATAGTTATACAACATGAAATGTAATAAACTCACCTGTATAAGTCACTATAAGTTTGTCAGAACTAAATTTTAAAAGGCTACGACCATCTTTAATATCCCATGCAGTTGGTGATCCTATTAGAATGAATGATAATAGAGATTGTTTAATGTATTGTATGCTTTTAAATATGTTACGAGGTTAATTAAGTAATTTTAAAAAAACAGATAGAATAATCTATCAATTTTATTTTATTTTAGAAGAAAATTAAAATTAAAATATTATTATTAGACTTAAAAACAAATAAATGTCCATTACCATCTAGTTCTCTTAATGAAAGAGCATAAGTAGAATCAGAAACTGACTCTATTTTAATGTATTTATTTGATAAAATTCGAAATTAATTAAGGATATAATCATAATCCACCGCTTAGGATCGCTTAATAACCTACTTCATACCTTTTATTATTTTTATATGTTTGGTGAAAATATTTTTTATTTTTTTCATTACACTTTTATCTTTATTGTTAAAATTAGACATTGTTATTAATTATAAGAAGAAAAAAATTATTTTCAAAGAAAAAAGAATGTAATGTGCGACACATTGAAGATCTTCAATTCGTTGCCGATTAATTATGAAATTAATTATGTAACGTGTCACACAGTCGTGATTTTGGTGAACCATTCAAATTCTTACGACACCTTGAATCTCTTGATATAAAAAAGACATTTTAAAAAAATGTTTTCTGAAATACCTATTTAAGTTCAAGGTAAGAAGAGATATTATATAGAAAGCCATTAGTCATGATGGAAAAGATGCTGATGCAGGTATATATATAATATGTGAGGTCAATCATAATCTCACAAAGAAACTTTGTGCTCGTAAATATTAATGCAAAATATTATTTAATTGTTTACAAAACAAAATTATTATTGATTTCTTTTTCTTTAATTCTTTTTTAGTAATATTCATAATTAAAAGATTTTTTTATTTCTTTTTAGTAATACTCATTTTGAACCACGATTAAGGATAAACTTTTTATTTTAGGGATCTCTTTTTAATATAAACCATTTAAAAAAATTTCATTTCGGAAAAACAGAATAAATAAAAATTAAAATTGCTTACCACTTTCATTCTTTTTTTCAATAAAACAAAAATAATGTAAAACAAAACTTGATTCGTCGTAGACGAGCAGATAAATTAACAACAACAGTGCTTATTACTTCCATTTCTTACTATCTCCACCAACTTCACTAATTATCGATGAGAAATTAAAGTAGCCAAAATCTTGATACTTTCCAAAAAATAATCGAGTGGATGAATTTTGAAGCGTTATTTATTAGAATTATTTCTTGATTAGATGCGTTAATAGTTCACGCCAGGTAGAATTAGAATAAAAGATAGCTTGTTGGTATCGTTTTAAAAAAATTACAATCTAGTCTTCATTTCATTTGCCGATGGTTTGAATTTTTTATCTGCTGATTAGATAACTAGAGAGAATAATGAGTTTAAATCATTTTTCGCACCACGAAAAAATCTTGCAGAAAATTTGGATCAGTATTTATAACATCAATATACCTTCATCATTTCAAAATTGACGAAACCAGAATTATTGGCAACTGATTCTTAATCATGTGCGCGCAAGGAATTCCAAGACCTCAAAATGAAAAATTTTAGTTCGCAAATATATCGTATAAATGATTGTATACAGTATGCAAAGCGTAGAGATGGATTCAAAGATTCAAAAATGAACAAAGGCCAAGAAGGTACTGTATTTCAGCATTTTTTTATTTCCTTATATACTTAACGTCGTCAATAAAAACTTATCTAATTTACAAATACCTTAATCGTTGGCCGAAAAAGCGGTTATAATTTCCTTCAACAAGCTTATATTTAGGAATGAGACCACCATAATGTAATTTCCTCTTCTAAGGATTTATTATCTCAAAAGGAATATTAGCATTGAGTAAAATTATATCAAATCGCTTGTTTAAAGCAATCAGAAACTTCATGAAAATTATGTATATCGTCCCGCATTAGGAAGAAACATGATTATCGTTGTTGATCATTCTTCTACATCAAAATCAACAAAATCAACTGCCTCCAATTCCAATTATTGAGTCAGATACTAATGATGATAATGCATATAATTAAACAGACATCAAACTATACTTATTGTAAGTTATAGTTTTTATATACGAAGGATTTATCGGAGTTATCGCGGCGAAACAAAAACATTACCCTATACCAAATATCTTAAATTTTGCGTTATATATACTATTATTGTATATATAGGTATCTAGATTTTAATTATAATTAACTACACATTTTATATTAGTATAATATAAAGGACGTTTTCTTCACTTAAAAAAATAGGGTTTTAACAATAAAGATTAAAGAATATTGACAAAATGAAATTTAGCAGATCCAAACTTTTTTCTAAATTTGAAATTTTTTTTAATTCAACGCTTTAATGACCAGAGATTTTATAATTTTATATATCGATCGTTAAAAAATTATACCAATTACAAGTAAATGTAGAACGTAACATGATTGATTGTTTCGTTTATTTTCGGAAAAATTAAGCAACTGCAAGACGAGTGTATCGAACACTAACCCAGATTTTTTAAACAATATTCAGCATGTAATAAAATAAATAAATTTAATTTTTGCAATGGAATGACCTTCAAATAATGGTAATGATGCTGATTTAAAGAACGATAAATTATGCCGGAGCGTAAGCAGTTGGAACCAGCCTAAAATCCTAACTGGTTTAAAATTTTCTTGGCCCGTTAATTAATCGGTTATATTTAACTCAGGATGGCACGAATAAATTTGGGTGAAGCTAGCGAAATGTTTGATCACAAAAGAACTTAATCCTGCCGAAAATTAAATTTTGGCAGAAGTTAAAATTAATTCTTTTTTACGATTGTTACACGAATCACGAATTAAATAAAAATAAATAAATAAATAAATTTCAAAGTTAAATATTAGCAAGAAATTTTTTCATACATTTTAACAGATTTTGTATAAAATAGCATGCTATAAAGATATTTGTAAAAAATTCAAAAAAAAAACTGAAAAGTACTATGAAAAATCAAGTTACTATTAAGTGATCTTAATTATTAGTTAATATTTACAAGTTAACGTTTAGTTTTAAAGGTATACAAGAAAGATTTATAAGGTGCAATGATAAAAGTTATAGACTTACATTACATATTTGGAAATAAATATACGGAATAAATATATATAAATATAAAGATTCTCGATTTATTATTATTTTGATTAATGTTAATGAATGATCTTTCGTCATGTAGTAAACTTCAAGGAAAAAGCTATCTTCAAAAAGGATTTTCTTTTATATTTAGACTTAGCATAATTTTATAAATCGAAAAATTGTAATTAATAAAAGGAAATTAGACTTTGTAGAATTAAATAAGCTGATATTAAAGTTATAATCATTGATTTATAAAAAGTTTATATTGATGACCAAAATTAAGTTCAATAATTATCGTATAACCGGGAGCCGTTCAAAATCCCGAAGATCAAGGGTCAAAATCCCGAATGATCATAATCGAACGATCATAATCCAGAATGACCATAATCACGAATATTATTTTTATATATTTTAAAGAGTTCTATCACGAGCTTATTTAGATTTTTAAATTTTTTCTTTAAAAATTTAGCAAAAAATCTATATCTTGACTACTTTTTAAAATATTTTTTTTTTGCCGACCATCGATAAAAATGGATGAAAATTGCTAAATCATACAATGTATATCGAAAGAAAGAAAGTATAAAAATCATTAATAAGATTTTAATAATATTGTGCGATACAAAATCAATATTGTAATTAGCAAATTATTATATTATAATTTTAAAATTATGTTTGTTATTCAGGAGGATTATGGCCATTCGGGATTATTATCGTTAGGGATTTTGACCCTTCGAGATTTCGTACCAATCCCCGTATAACCACAATTTTAATATCATAACGGTGTTAGCCGGAGGGCTGGAAATAAAACTTAAATGATATAATTCAGTCCTTCGAATTAATCACGATAACTTTATCACAATCACGCCTGTATGAAGACACGGCAAAAGGTAATAGCGAATGAATAACAAATATCTTTATTGAACTCTTGGTTTATTCACAAAACCCTATCTCGAGTTATCTTTCAACTCAAGG